AACAAAGACGTGTTGCGAACTTATTGGCTACTTTGACTGTCATGAACTACAAATTATTTGACACTGACTGTGACTGTACATACTATTTTAATAGTACAGTCGCGGAATGAAAAGGTTCGTCACCTTAGTGTCGGTTTTCGCTTGCACTAGGTATTATAAGAGTCAAACCTGCCAACATAACCGTGCAAGAAACAGTGCTGCTAACATTTAAATAAATATGACGTTTGCTAACGGATAAGGTTTAAAGATGACCCCTTTTCATTCCGTGACTGTACAAGCTTTGGTCCAGATGGCATGGCGCTGTGTAAACCGTCCAAGCACGGTAATATTACCGTGGTCCAAGGGTATTTATTTTAAACGCAAAGTAAAGCAAAAGACACAAGCGAAGCCTAGGGCAGTGGCATACCTACAGATAAAACTATCAAGTATAAAATATAAATGGAGAAAGACAACCGACCTTTCAATGGCCTTGCTATGTGCGGTGGGCGGTATCCAGTTGCGAGTAGGGATGGCGATCTGTAATCGATTAATCGAATATTTGCAAACAAAAACGATTTTAAATCGATTTTTAGTACTGAATCAATCGACATTTCGCTATTGAAGATTGACTTTCGATTTTATCAATATTGATAAGAAGTATAGAATTCTAAATCGAATTAGTATTATTTATTTATAAATTAATTAAACATTTATTCGCTGCAATCTTAGGGTTACAAATTAGGTGTAGACTTCCCCTGTTAAGTTACATAAGCAGCAGTGTCAGAGCAGAGCAAGCCGCTCTTCCATTGCATAACATTGAAAAAAATCCTTGTTAAGACTTTAGCTAAAGGAGATAGATTTGTATAAAATAGATCCTTTTAAGTTTATTTTGTGAATCGATTTATGAGCTTTCGATTCATATCGTTTAAGAATCGATCTTTTTAATGAATCGCCATCCCTATTCGCAAGCAGGTTTGTGGACTGTGCGGTTTTATTAAAAACCTGTGGCTCATGTCTTATTATTTGCTGAAAGTAAGCACTCACCGATAATAATAACATAATTATGCGATACATTATAACTAATAGGACTAAATAAAAGGACCCAAATGGAAATAAATACATTTTCTTACAAAACATTTTGGTCCGCCGTGTTTATTTATGAAGGTATAATAATTTGTTTTTCACTGAAGGGATAAAGGCAAGTCGATTTTCAGCTTCCTAATTTACTTCTTATCAATTTAATTCTGCTTATCTTCATGTCGTATTAATGACGATTTTGTTTCATAAACAAAATATCTTCTATCCAATCGCAGTAGAGATAAACTTTAAATCAGCATGATTTCCTGAACTTGATGCAATGATTGTTCAAATTACACAACAGTTATAGCATTTGTGTATAAAATGCTCTATCATTCTGACATTTCAATAACTACAGAAAAACCCTATAATAATTAAGGCCAACGAAGCATGATCATCATTAGGGGAGACCGAGGAGAATTGTAACAGAGGAGAGTTGTGAGTTGTGACATTGTCTATTTTTTTTTAACTTTTTAACCACTAGCGAGCTCCTAACAGCGACTTTCTAGTTCAAGTCTCGAGCTAACAAATACGCGCTGTTGCGAACTCGCTCTAAGTTACTAGGTATCCAAAAAATTTACAATGACACAACTTACCTACCTCGGTCTCCCCTACTCGTCATCAATTCTCTATGGTAGCTTTGGTCATCTAGCAGCTGTGGTTTGTGAATGGATATTATGTATGTAATTTTACCGCAACTACAATTGGTGGCACAGTTAGAATTGTATCACTTTTTGCTAATCAAACTACTTTGTAGAACAATGACACTATTAAGATTCAAAAGAGAAGGCTTTCTTCATAATGTAGTTCTTTACTTTAGAATAAATGACAAAAAAATATTAAGGCATACGAGTTACGCTTAATTACTTAAGTCGTAATTTACTTCAAATACTCTTTTAACATAATATGACAAAATCATATTTCTTGTGAAATATGAAAGTCTAATGTTTTCCACTTTCAGCATCTGGGTATCAAACTGAAGCTTCTGAACTTCTGAAAGTTAAAATATGACAATAATCTCCACATGTACCATAACAATCAATTTTGTGATGTGACACTGTGATGATGATCCTGAGAATCGATTATCACCGGTCAACAAAAAAAAAATTTTTTTTTGCGCATGGATTTTACTTATTATATTCTGATTATATAAGCAAATTTATATAAAAAAATGCGATTACAAATCGAAAATATTTGCTTTTTAAGAAGTTATAGCGATTTGAATTTTCCATCTTCATAGTAAAATGTCTCTAAAGATGCACGTCACATTCTCATTGGGATATATTTAAAGATAATTATGGGGGCTTATTCGCAAGAACAAGGGGCACGCTTTCATCAAAATATAGTGGGATTTGAAAGACGACGTTACCAAGGCCAGTATACTGAAAGCGTCATAGGGTTAGATTTTTATGAGAAAAATCTTCTATGGAACATGAGAGGAGATTAGAACTTTACATTTTTAATAAATATTTGGACTCTATTTTAAATTTTCTCTTGTGAGAATGAATCTTAAATGGATGTTTGGTATGTTTTAATAATTAGAAAGAATGGAAGTAAGAAAGAAAAAAAAATATTTGGCATCAAATTAAATCATCTCTATGTTCATGTTTCATACATTCATTTATATGAATTTTTCTATTTTTTACACATAAAAGCAAATTCAGAACAATTTTTTGTTGTCATTCTTATTTCTAGGTATTAAAGCAATAAAAATAAGCTATGCATAACCCGTGCGCAAAAATGCTGTAGACAGTTGTTATTAAACCCATCTTCCATGAAAAAGTTAGTTGAAACTATAGTCAAGCGATTTTGCAACGTCAAGTTACAAAAATCAAAAACTAACAACCCATAATGATAGTAGCGCTAGCGCACTCCTGTAAATGCATATGTAATTATAATATTAAGGCTGTGTTGCACCATCTTATTTTAACTTTGACAAACGTCAAAAATCTGTCAAACTCCATACAAAAAACGCCGGTTATCGTTATAGGTAGTTAAGGTCAAAATTAGGTGGTGCAACTCAGCCTAAGATAGTTCAACGTGGCAAAAATCCGAACTAATAATCCAGTAGGTATTGAATAATCCAGTAGGGCTTTGCCTGAAATAAATACCTTTTATTTTATTTTATTTTATTGATAGAGCGCCCTCCTGACAATGTCAAAGCTGGGACGGTTAAGTGTAGGACACAATGACATAAAAGAAACCCGACCTAATACTCGTAAATAAACTGAAAACTGCCACAATAAAACAAACAATAGAATACCCTCAACAAGTTCTTTCGCACGACCGTTAAAATTTGAAATTCAAATGCCGACTTCCTTCCGAAATTCGTGCGCGGCGCGGACGTGACGTCACGTCCCGCCATTGTCGCATGCGCACCCTGTGATGTCATTCCTCCTTTCCGGGAATATTAACAAAAGGGAAGACAAGTGTTTATTAGTTTGGTTTTAGAATGTGATGACATTTGAAATTAATGAAACAGTAGCCTAATTGACGTACTATAAAAACTTCAACGACATGACATGCAAGCGATTTGTCACTTTTCAACCGACTTCAAAAATGGAGGAGGTTCTCAATTCGACCCGTATGTTTTTTTTTTCTATGTTTGTTACGCGATAACTCCGCCAATTATGAACCGATTTGAACAAATCTTTTTTCGGCGTATAGGTAATACCTCAAGGGTAGTCCCATTTAAATTTAATAATAGAAAAAACAACCCCCAAGGGTGGAAAATTGGGGATGAAATTTTTTTATACGCAATATCTCCGCCGATTATAAATCAATTTGAACGATTATTTTTTTGTTGAATAGGTATTATCAAAAGGGTGGTTTCATGCGAATTTGAAGAAAATATTTCACCCCCAAGGGTGGAAAATTGGGGATGAACTTTTATTACACGCAATATTTTTAATTTTTAGTTTTTTTTTGTGTTCTCGCATTTGAAGTCAGTTTTATTTTTTTTAAAAGTTAATTATCGTATTCACGTTTAATCGCCCGTTTTGTTTCGCTTTCGCATATGATCGTGCCTCCGCGGTATTCACCTATTTATTTATTTTGTCTATTGTCCCATCACCGACGATAAAGTGGCTAATTGTCGCTTTTTCTGCCGATGCCTAGACAGACTTACGGGAGGAACGACAGCTCGATGAACTTTTTATCACCCCTTACTTTCAGGATCAATCTGCGAAGAAGCAAAAAATATTGAGTTTATTCCGGCGTTTCTTCTCAGCACTTGCCATAATAATATTTTATGTTCGTCTCGAAGCGAAGTAAAGTGAACTATAATGGGCTACCTTTTCATTATCATAAGTGCCAAAATATTGGTCTTAACTGAATAAAATAATTTTGATTGTCACTATTCCACATCTCTTTTTTGGCACACCTTATCCTTTTCTTACTGTATCATTTAAAATATTTTGCGTGTCAAAGGACATCATCCACGTTTCATATATTTTTGGTCCAAAATCAAAAGTGCCGGCCAACAAAAAAAAGTGCTGTATTCTGACAGAATACGTCTGCCTTAGCATTTGTTACTATGGCACCAAAGCCGTAGCTCCACTGTGCGTCGAGTATTTGAGATCTTAAAGTCATCGACTATTCATACATTTTTTGTTCAAAATCAAAAGTGTCGGCCAATAAAAAAAAAGTGCTGTATTCTGACAGAATACGTCCGCCTTAGCATTTGTTACTATGACACCAAAGCTGTAGCACCACCGTGCGTCGTAGTATTTGAGATCAAAGTCAGTCGTTTCATATATTTTTAGAACTCAAATACCACGATGCACAGTGGTGCTACAGCTTTGGTGCCATAGTAATAAATGCTAAGGCGGACGTATTCTATCAGAATACAGCACTTTTATTTTTTGGCCGGCACTTTTGATTTTGGACCAAAATGGATGAAGTCCTTTAACTATTTTCTTAAACTCATTAATTGCTTGTTCCAGGACGATGGCACCGTAGAGTACCACAACATGATCATCGTCCAGCCTCACCCCAAGATCGTGACGGGCCAGGGCCGCGGGTACGAGGTTCGCTGCCGCTACCGCCGCCGTGACCTGATGCAGTTCCACGTACTCCGACAGAACCGCGCGGGGAAGGCGCTGGCTGACCTTGACAGGTGACTACTTTGGCTGGTCTTTGAAAGCGCTAGACATGACGTTCTTCGGTAGCTGGTTCCTCGCTAGCTGGTCGGAGGCGTTTCTGTACTTTGCCAGTAGTGCAGTCTGTAATCAGACGTTTTCCGCCAGCAAGACCAGACCAGTGGAGAAGGCATGGCTGACCTTGAAAGGTACATTAATGATACTCAAGGAGTTTTAAGGCGAAAACCATGTACTTTGAAAGCAGCGGTAGATATACAGCCTCTTTATAAAAGCTCGACAGGTCATTGTGTGGAAAGTCTCACATGTTCTGGCAACGAAACGATACGACCAAGGCACTGGCTGATCTTGCCAGGTAGATGCTCAAAGAGAGGCTTCCTTAGCTAGTCTTATAGAGGGTCATCGTAAGTACATTAGCCTGCTCTTACTTGCTCTTGAAGAGTGCTTCTACGAGGTGCATTGGCACTACTGCCGCCACGACCTGATGTAGTTCCGACAGAACCACGCGGGGAAGGCGCTGGCTGATCTTGACAGGTAGATGACTTCTTTAGATACATACGGGACTATACCCACGTCTCGTTCCCACCGCTCCAGTCCTGTGTAGCTAAGATCTACAGACTGACTACTGACTACTAATCAAAAACCCAACCAGGTTTCTATCATCATTAGGTCATTTATTCTCCACTGCAGAAGACACTATGTAACTTACCAGAGGCAAATGCGGGATTGGATCTACAGCTTATACTTCTCACGCTAGCCAGACGGGTTGGAGAGGCACATTACTTTAAGCTGGTAAATAGGTCTGGAGAACGTCATTGTGGAAATTGTTAGGACCATTGTCTATTAGTGGGAGTTACTATTAGCTGGTCTTACAATGCAGCAGGTTGTTGAACGCATTTGTCTGTGACCATCAGTTTGATTTTTTTGCTTATTTTTACAACTTAGTTAAATACCAATTGCTAAATTACATACTTACGTAAAAGAATCCATTTTAATATAATCGAGTTCGGAAATGTCAAACAAGCTTGCAACATCTGAACATCTTCGCAAAATGGCAGACATAAAAGCTAAAATTTAACCAAAGCACACTACACCCACTTGTTCTTAACCATTACGGTTACAAATTACGTCGATTAGAACCAAATTAGGGTGTGGGTGTGATAATACACATCCTAAAGCATACAAATTTATACAATAGCCTTAGGTCTTACCTACATAGAAAGCATAATAAAAAGTCTGTAAGCCCTTGAAAAGGAGGCTGACAATAGTGACTGAGTTTCTTGCGCTGCTTCTTCTTAGCACTGGTCCATTAATTGTCCCGAAGCAGTGGTAGGGTTAATACTGGGACGTTTAAAAGTGCTTTTTAAAAGGCTATTTGCAAAAATAAATTAGTTTCATAAGTTTTTTATTGGTTTAACTACATCTTATAGGTTCGGCCTAACCAACGCGTGCAGCCTGCGTGCGCGATGGCGATGCGATCAGATGCCGTGTATGAATTTGTAGCGATAAGTTCACATCAACGCGTCCTGTCATTGGTCGCGGCGATCTATGCGCAGTGATCGCCATCCCCGACGCGAACTGCACGCTTTGGTTTGGCCGAAACTTAAGAAGTAACTACGAGGTCTCACTTGTCGTAATTATTGTTACAGTGATCTTCAAGACTTGGAGAAGGAGTTCGTCATGCTTCCCTCTGTCACCATGCAGCTGTTCAAAGGGGACCCTGAAGATAAACATGTGAGTGAAAAATCTTTCAATAGTTCGCGTACCTAACTCCTTTTCCAATTTGCAACGTTTTGTGAACAATAACAATGTGCAGTATGTTAAAAAAATGTTCTTTTTTTTCGTTGTCCAGTACCCCATCTTTGATAATTTTAGGGCTGGATGACTCAGTGTAAAAGAAAAATACCAAAGAAATTTATATACACACTTAAGTGGCAGTGGGCGGAGCACATGGCTCGTAGAAATGATGACCGTAGCGTAGGAACCAAAAATTATCGAAGGGCCACTATGGAATGGAAGCAGTAGTGTGGGTAAGCTGGAATGAAAATCTTGTGACGGTCGCGAGAAGCACCTAGATGCGGGCATCGCAGGACCGGTCATTACGGAATTCCCTATGAGGGGCCTTTGTCCAGCAGTTGCTTGAAACAAACCAAAAATAATATTCTTCTTGACTTCAGGAGGTGTCCGAAGCGAAGGTGGGCGACACGGTGACCCTGGTGGTCTCCCTGGAGAAGCAGGATAACGTGGGGATGCTGGTGAGGGATTGCTACGTGCACGACGCGCTCGGGTGGGCGGAGCACAAGCTGATCGACGAGGACGGGTATACATCTGTCTCCTTCTTTTGTTACTCTAATATCTCAGCTACACTACTCGCTTCAGCGCTTCGACGAAGTTATCTGGATTTCGAAGCGCATATCCACATCCACACACTTGTGCAACCTCGCGAGGAAGACAGTCTCTCAGAGGCCGCACAGTAGGCAACATGGACGTTCAAGTGGCAGCTGCCATTGCGATGTGAACTCTCATTACAATAACGCTCAAATTCCTAATGATGAGATATCGACGCGACTGCAAACCATTATCCAAGGAATGTAGACGTTTTTTGTTCAAACTTTGGACTACTTCAAGTCCTTTGACTCGGCCGCAAAATCGACAATTTTCGGTTTTGAGTGGGCTCACGGACTACTGTGCGTAACTGCGTATGCCTACTACTATGGTATTAATTACTATTCCCACCTCCCGTTCCCACTATTCCTGTTTTGACTTCCACAGTTCAGCAATGTTAAAAGTAACATATTTACATTATATTTTTCCTGCTTCTTTTGACTTATTTTTCTTTCCCTAGATTGAGCAGTGCAATACTTTACTAGGTCTGACTTGCAACTATTATTTCCAGATGCCCACTGGACAGTGCAGTGATGGGCGTATTCCAGTACTCGGCCGATAACATGCGGGCCCAGGTCTCTTTCTCAGCTCATAAGTTCGCGTGGAGCCCTAGCGTGTACTACACTTGTGGGGTGAAGCTGTGTAAAAAGGCTTGTGTGAGTATAATATCATGATTTCTGGCGTAGTTCTGTTCTATAGTCCGGTCTCTGAGCATGTAAAATTTTGTCCAATGACCCCAAGCTACACATCCTTATCGCTCGCGTGTAATTATATTGCTGTTGCGACTGTGCGACGGGTGGCCGCAGAGAGTGTGCGAGCGCGACAGCAACATAATTACGCGCGAGCGATAAGGACGGGTATTTAATCCTCATAACTTTCAAAATTCAAATTCAAATTCAAATTCAAATCTTTATTGCGTACTAAGTGACAATTTTTGTAATGGTGGAAATTACATACACATGGGCTTAAGACTTAGTGACCTAGGAGGTATTGCAACAGAGTAGGTAGCTTGGGGTCATTGGACAAAATTCTACGTTTTCGGAGACCGGGCTTTAGTAAACAACGCAACGCAACGTCAATCCACAAAGAACAGTATGCTGCTATTTTTCTTCCAATTAGTTGTCTTCTTGAGGTCGTCGGTCTTCCCAATAAGGTGGTACTTATATCGGATACTTAGATCCGTTATGTAAATAACTGCTTCCATTCAAGCACCAAGGAATACTAGGTCCCCCATTCCCAAGATGGCATTGACAATAAAATAGCGTGCAGGTTTTAGGCGCCAATAGCCTGACGGTGTCGATATCCGAGGGAATCTAATAAACACCAGCATATCCTATATCTAAACTAGAAAAACAATAAACTTTATTCTATTGCAGAATCTAACGCTAACTTATAATTTTGTCTCCAGCAACGAAAATCTTGCGCTGACAAGAGCAGACGACCAAGAAGGGACCTGGATGAAGGTTCCCCCGCTACTGTGGAGGTGTTCACCGGGCTCTACGTCAACGAGGCAGATTCGCTGGAGAGCGACGAGGTCACCAGTGAGAAGGTAAACCATTCCCACCCAAGCCCCTCTTTCCCACTGGGCACTTTGGGCACGTGCCCAGGGCCCCGAAACTGAGGGGGCCCCGTCTGCTCAAAAGACCTTAAGGGCAGCAGACAGAGGACGCTTACTCTCGATTTCAGAAGATAAAAGTCAAATGAGACCCAGCAACACCCAAGCCTACGGGCGGCAAATCTATGAATCCGCCACTGCCTTGATCCTTATGTGCCCAGGGCCCCTAGGTTAAAGACGGCCCTGTTCCTATCTCTCGTTCCCACCGCTGCAACTCCTGTGTAGCCGGGATCTACAGCTTGACCGCCATTAAAACCCAGCCACTGAAGTGCAAGTTTGTCTCGGGGACCAGTCCATTGAGAAGGTATCCAAGAACTGCCATGACCATGGGACTTAGTTGTGGACGCCTTCTATTGGTAATTGTCTTCTTAATTAGGTAGCAGGAAAGCGCTGGAAGCAGGCCGCTTCTAACCGGCCAATATGGAAATCATTGGGGGAGGCCTATGTTCAGCAGTGAACGTGAACGTCACTGACATTTTTAATGACATTTTGGTTAATGCAACATTTTCTAATAAGGGTCTAGTCACAGGTCTAGCACTTAACTGAGTCATTGCCTGAGGTATAGGAGTGGCACGGGAGGGGTAACATTGACATTATTATTATGACCCTCCCGTGCCGCTTTCATACCTCAGCAATGATATTATGTATATAAAAACAAAAGCAGATAATATGTTATAAGCGCTCGCGCTGTGAATACTCAAATACGTCCCAATTGGGACGTCTTGTGTTTAGTCTTCGTGTGGCCTGCGTCGTGCGCAATCGCGTGCGTACCACACCGTAAGTTCCTGTTCTTACCAAAATAAATAAAAAATGCCATCGTGTGTGTTTCGAAAGTGTACCAATTATGACAATAAAGTAAACAAAATACAAGGGATCTCTTACCACATGTGACTATGCAAAATTATTTAGTATTTATATTTTCAATTATTTATGCAAACAATCAAGACGCCATGCGCCATTAAAAAAGAGAAAGCGATCTTGTTTTGACGTTAGAGCGATAAGGATGCGTGCGCTGCGGACATAGATTAGTTAGTGCAGAATCGTTAAAACTATAGCTATCTCTTTCATTTGCGTGCTATTTCGTATCTTTTGTTTCACTTATCAGTTACATTTGTCAATGTGTGCAATTTGGAATAGCTCGGCACGGATTCAAATCGTAATTTCTATGAACGTAACATATCTATAGTTCTTTAATATCATTGTACCTCAGGCAAACTACACTCGGCATCAAATAAATCGCACCTCCCGCGACAAGCACTTATCAAACGTATGCATCCCCACTTCCCACCAACATTGGTACCATTTGAAAGCCTAGTTCTAAACTTCATTTCATTAAAGGAAAGGTTTTTACCCCAAAAATGTGTCTTTACAAGGATCCAGAGTCACTTCTTCAAAAAATAGGTAGTTACGCTACAGCCATTTTTTATGACTATAAAACTGTTAAGTTGGGATTAATCGCTATCCATCTGTTAAAGAGGACACGTGAGATCTTTATTTGGTTTTATAACCATAAAAATTGGTCTAATTGATCCCAGAGGTGAGCCCAAAGTTAGGTCTATTTTCAAGTCACATTTATGGTATATGTTAATCATTTATTTAGAAATGAAATGTATTTTCTTTAAGGATATTTATTGGGCTTTCAAATAACACCAATATTGTTGGGGTACCATGATTGTGTCAGAAGAATCATTAAAGTTCGCGTCGCGGAAGTTATTTGATGTTGAGTGTATTATTGCATCCATTAAATCAGAACATTTTTCGTTTCTAATCAGACTCATTCACGTTTTACTTTATAATTTTCAGAAAGAAGACGAGATCTGCATATCACAGCGTAACTTCGCCATCGGGATCTGCATCGCCGGAGTCATCCTGATGATTTGCGTCATCGCGGCCATAGCCTACATACTGGCTCGCAGACGAAGCCCCAAGACTTACAGTCGGACCGGCAGTTCCTTGTACAGTGGGCCTTACACTAACACAGGGTATTCGCATACCAGTTAAACTGGTGAATAGACGCCGATCGTCAGAAAGTCTCAATGGACACCGATCGGCGGTCAGAGAACTTCAATGGACGCCGATCGCGGTCGTATAGTTTTTGGCGGTTGACAGTAATGCCAGAAATTTTTGAAAAGGACACTAAATACCAGAAAAAACCCAATACCAGAAAAAAATTGAATTTGAATTATCTAGTTCTCTTCTCGTTTTTAAATTTAAACCGATTGGCGTCCATGCGTAGGTTTGTATCAAGTGTATTTTCATATGTGTTGAAATTGGGTTTCAAAAAGTTTTTTTTAAATGCCTCGCCATCCATAAATATGTGCGCGTATTAATGAGAGTCAAATTAGTATTTAAAATTATCTTCATCGAATTTTTAATGAGCGCGTGAAAAGTCGAAAATATTCCGTTTAAAAGTACAAAATATTTTTTGAGAAATTTTTTTTGAGAAAATTTTTTTGAGTTGTAAATGCCCGGTCTGTGTTAAATTAAATATTTTTTAAAGATTTCTACATTGGATTAAACTCTCCTACACTGCCTAAGTCAGTTCTTTAACAATTTTAATTCGTATACTATATTTTACACTTAGTTTTAACTACAGTATAACATCATAAATACATAATATTATTTTTTTAAAAGGCCATTATGGTTTGCGATTTTTTTACAAAAAAAATATTGTGATCGTAAAAAATTGCAATACATTTTGTTTTTTTTTTAGTTCATATTTGAATTGTTGTGTTCAAATCCACAACGAAAGTCAGTTTTAGTTAGTTATTTTGTAATTTACCAACTTGTATGTAAGTTTTATATACCTACCATAAATGGGAAACGTAATTATAATATAATATTTATAATGTGATAATGTTTTGAATCATATCCGTCCTTTATTTTTAAGTAACACGTTTCTTTTCTAAAGTTTTTACTGGATCACCACAGAGATGCGACACGATTCGATTTTTTGCGTAAAAAAAATATTATAGACTTTTTTTATTTAAAAAAAAAACAGCAAAAATTTTAGAAAGGAGGAGTGATTATACGTAATATAAGAAGGTTGCCTTGCATTACGTAAATAATGTAAAAATATATCAACATGACAAAATGTTGGTCTTGTATAAGGGTATTGTAAAGGCCTGCGAAAACTTAGTATAATAACATGTATTAGTTAATATTTTATACCGACTCTAACAAAATTACTGAATACTATAATAAAAACTAATAATTACCATATTTTAGTATGTTTGAAGCAATATTGTTTGTGATATTTCTGTACCCCCAG